GGCCAAATTTTGCCGGGAGCTCGAGGCAAATTCTCGTCTCTTGGCCCAAAAAAAAAAAAAAATCGAGCCGCGCCTTTCTGAAGGCCCGAATTTTTTAAACTATCGCGGCTCGATTTGGCCAAATTTTGCCGGGCAGCTTCCGGGCAAAATTTGGCCAAATCGGGCTGCCCTTCGTATGCGATGAGAAATGCGTGGCTCGATTTGGCCAAATTTTGCCCGGAGGCTGCCCGGCAAAATTTGGCCAACTCGAGCCGCGATAGTTTAAATAATTTCGGGCCTCCAGAAAGGCGCGGCTCGATTTGGCCAAATTTTGCCGGGCAGCCTCCGGGCAAAATTTGGCCAAATCGAGCTGGGGGGGTGGGGTCTGGGGAACCCCCCCCATTTGGAAATAAATGAATTAATTGAATTAATTGAACTAATTGAATTAATTCAATTAATTAAATTAATTCAATTAATTCCACCCCCCCTTTGGAAAATGAAAATTGAATTAATTGAAATAATTGAATTAATTGAATTAATTCAATTAATTCAATTAATTCATTTATTTCCAAAGGGGGGGAGGGGTGGGGGCTGGGGAATCCCCCCCATTTGGAAATAAATGAATTAATTGAATTAATTGAATTAATCGAAATAATTCAACTAATTCAATTAATTCAATTAATTCATTTATTTCCAAAGGGGAGGTGGAATTAATTGAATTAATTGAATTAATTCCAATTAATTCAATTAATTCAATTAATTCAATTAATTCAATTAATTCAATAATTCAATTAATTCAATTAATTCAATTAATTCAATTAATTCAATTAATTCAATTAATTCATTTATTTCCAAAGGGGGGGGTTCAATTAATTCAATTAATTCAATTAATTCAACTAATTCAATTAATTCCACCCCCCCCTTTGGAAATAAATGAATTAATTGAATTAATTGATTAAATTCATTAAATTCCAGGGGGAAAGTGGAAATTAAGGAATTTAATGAATTAAATTCTGTCTGTGCAACCCTACAGGACCTAAAATAGGGTCTATTTGGAACATGGCTCTTGTGAATAAGTATACGTTTTGGGGCCTGTTTTCCTCTTGTAAATACGATTCCCAGCTTCCAAATAGACCCTATTTAAGCTGCACACCCCCCCCCCCCCCCCCCTACCCTGCCTAGACCTACCACACCCCGTCCCAATTCACCCGAACATTCCCTAATTAAATCATTGCCTTCACCCCACGTGATGCAGCTTTGCCACCATTTCTGTCCTAAAGCCTACCTTTTCCCATGCCCTAGCCCTTGCCCTGGCGTGCCTGACCGATTGGGTGCACAGACTTGTAGGTTGCCGGGCCGGGCCCAACAAACCCCACCCCACCCTCCTGAAAACATCTGAAAAAACAGCCCTTGGCCAGTTTAGTTTAGTGGGTGGGACATTGTTGATGGAACTAGGGCTTTTCTGGCTGCAGACAAGTGGTCTGAGGCAAAGTCCAAGTCTCCCAAGAAGGGAAAAGGCTCTGACGAGGAAGGTGAGGAGGAGGAGGCGCGACACAGAGAAGGGTCCCTGAGTCAGCCTGAGTGTCTTGCTGGTTGCTGTTCGCGCGATTTTTGTGGGGTCGCTCAAGCATGGGCAACAGCGATTCTTCCGTAAAGGCTGCTGCAGGCAAAATGCTGCCTGACTAACGACTGTCACAAGATAAAGATTTATTTCTTGATGCCCTTCACCTCTTTAACGGATCTGAATGCCGTGTTTCATCGAGTCGCTGTGTGTGTAAAGGAAGATGAGGAAGACGATGAGCTGGCTTCTCAGGCTTCTTAGTTTGCGACAGTGGTAGCAGTGCTACATGCGGAACCACAGTCTCCCAAGACAGAGTCAGTTTCGCGTTGAAGGGTGCTGGACGCTTGGCTCTCCACTCGACTGCACTGGAGTTGCCACTGTGTTTGGCTTTGTCTAAGGTTTGCTCCGAACTGTTTTCAGATTCTCGGCGTTGATGCCTGGACACTCAGCTGACCGGTCCAACAGGCACAAAACCACACAGTGAGACAGTGAACCTGACCCTAAAGCATCCACAAGGAGGGGTTCATCGAAGTCCGTAGGTTCTCCCTCCCCCTATGGACCCCCTATACGCTGAATTGCGTCTGTGAAGCTTTGCTGGCTTCTGGGCCTTCTGCGGACCGTGACTCCCTACGAACATTGGTTGGGGATGGGGTTCATAGGGAGGGGGTGGCAGGGCCGCCCATGAAAGTCCAAAGATTTCTATGAGTGTATGATCCGATTCACAGGGCCCCACAGGGGCCCATAGGGGTCCGTAAACCGAGGGTAGGAGAATGCTCGGAGAATGGAGCAGTTGTGAGTGGTCAGAGGTTTGAGCTTGAACGCATGTTTGCAAGTGGGGTGACTGTCTACTTACTGGAGTTTGTTGGCTCCACTGGCTGCTACAAGCAAGCAAAGTACTTTGTACTTCCCTTGGAGTCATGGCACGTTCTTCGTGGAAGGCCTTGAGCGTGGTTGCTGCGCTGGTCGCTTTGTACTGTTGCGACAGCTTGAGTTTGTGCCCGGGCCCTTGAGAAAACATGCGCCCGTGGCAGCTGCGTCCGCAGCCGGCGTGATGATGGCTCCAGCTGCGTTCGCCGACGAGAGGCGGCTGTGCGATACCGTGAGTTCCTGAGCAGATGAACGGTGCCTGATGGTGGATAAGACACTGGAATCCTGCAACCCCTTCACTTACTTACTTACGTTCGCCGACCAGACTGGTGATGCAGCCAAGAAGCTTGGTGATGCTTCCTATGACTTTGCGAAGGAAGTGGACTGGAACAACGGCATCTTCTTTCAAGCTCCTGGCAAGTTCCAGCCTCTCCAAGATCTGAAGGCAATTGACAAGATGATTGTTCGAGCTAGGGCTGCATGTGCGTGGGAAATCGCTGCTATTCGAGCTGCTGGCACCATCGCCACTAAGGTGGGGTGATTTTTGAAGCTTCAGTAAACAACAGTGGTGCAGCGAACAGCGCTGCAGCTGTTTCTCATGTTTCAGAGGAACTTTGGACGAAGTACGGACTTTTCGAAGGCGTGCTTCTTGACGTAACAGCAGCAGTGCAGAAGAATGGCGGAGTCGTTAGCGATTGACGACCATGTTGTGCCTTGAAGCAGTGCTATATCGGCTTGAGATTGGCAGGCGTGTTCTGAGCTGGTTCTTGCCTAGCTTAGTGACTTTAGTGAAGCTTGTGCTGTCCCTTGCAAGGTTCTCTTGGACACAAATCTTCAGCCTTGGCTACTGGAGGTACCGCGCCATGTCGTTGTTTCCCTCCTCCCTCCCCCCCCCTTCTCCCCCTTTTTCTCCGGGAGGGGGGAGGGTTGGTTGATCGTCCACGAGTTTTTCTCGCATTCTCGTTTGCCCCGCTCACTGATGGCTCGGCAAACCACGTGCTCTTCTGCCCCCGCAATAAACAACCAACTACTTTTACATCTCCTTCTGGCAAGAAAAAGCTGATCACTGCCGAAGTTGCATTAGGATGCTCGCCAGGTCAGTTCAAAACATGTGGTGAGTGTTTTTTGTTTCGATACTTTGGCTCGCAACTACGAAACCATTCTAAGCACCCCCCACCCCCGACTTCAAAAAAGCGCTACGTTCGATGATTTAGGTTTTTTCGTGATCGGAGATGGTATCGTGGCGGAGGTCAATGCCAGGCCGTCCTTGGACATCTCGAACCCCATCCGCTTGAAGGACGCACCGCCGGGATCGAGGCCTGATTTGGCAAGAGAGAAAGAAAGAGAGAGAAACCAAAACAAGAAAGAATGAGAAAAGAGGGGAGAGAGAGAGCGAGAGGGAGAGAGAGAGAGAGAGCGAGCTCTCAAACCTTTCCCTAGAGTTTGGAGTCAAGCTTTGTGACACACGTATCTGGAGTTATCTTTCGTAACACACTTCTGGATTTAGGTTGGGGTGACCTTTGTGACACACCTATGCCTAAAAGTTTGGAGTTCGTGCTCGCCCGTTTTTCCGCTTGTTTAACGTGTCTGTACCTCTTAAAGTTGAAAGAAGACATCCCGTGTTTGTATCTCTCAAAATTGACAGAAGGCACCCCGTGTCTGTATCTCTTAAAGTTGAAAGAAGGCACCCCGTCTCTGCATCTCTATAGTTGAAAGAAGCGTGGTAGAGTTTTTCGTCGAGTTTTGTGAGTCCGATGTCCACAGTACAAACTGGCGGTGTGCTGTACTTTATGTAGTGTGGCTTCTGCCATGCTCGCTGCAGGCGCTGCGTTTGCCGGGATATGGACGGTGAGGCCTTGGGCTTGCTTTCCTTGCTCCATGGGTTGTCCGACATCTTACTTGTAATCGCTTAGGCTCTTAGACTCAACTCATAGGCGTTTGTGGACTGAGCAGGATGAAACAGACATGGGCAGTTGCGGTGGCTGTTGGTCAGGATCATTGTCATGTACATAGCGAAGTGGCGGCTGGCCCAGAGGGTGGAATGTAATCGTATCATTGATCAGAAGTGAGGCGTTGATCCTGCCTGGTGCTTTGTTCACGGAGATCTTGTTGAGAGACCAACGCAGGCTCTGTTATCTCAATTTCCGCTATGGTTCAGGCATCGCAAGTTAAGTCTGTTTTCCCGAGGATGTGCGCGTAAAGCGTTTGGCCGTGGAGGGCGCGTTCCGACTTGCAGCAGCTGACGGCGAGCCAGCAGAGCCACCGGAAGGCTTCATGAGGATGCTTGGCCTCCTTTTAGTGCTCTATAGTGCTCTCATGTGCTCTCTACACTGTCGCTCCGCCAAAGCAGTTGGTGTGCATTTTTTTGATTGACCGAGGATGGACTTTGATCGTTGCTGGTTCGCAATGAGTTGACTAGATTCTACGAGACTCAGATGGTAGTGGCTGTCGTTCGCCCATGATTTGAACTTGCGCACTCTTGGGCGCCCGACGCATGCAAATCCGAGGTTACAGTCCTTCTGAGGCCCAAGAAACGCTGCAGGCAGTAGCAAGGACCCAGGGTTGATTGGGGCTTGGGATCAAGCCCAGTACTCAATTTGTCTGAAGTGCGCGTTCGGAGCTCTTTCGCCATGCAGGCATTCTAAGACATGAGACTTGCCCGCTACATGCTCAGCAAAACTTGCCACGCACAAGCGAAGCCGAAACCCTCTCATCGACCCGGAATCGGCCTCCTCATACAGGATCTTTCAGGAGGCGGGTGGCGCCAAGAAGGTGGCGGGCTAAGGCTTACGAGTGGCATGGAGGGGCTGAGCCATATGGGTTTTCTTGAAGTCTTCTTGAGCTCTTCTTGAAGTCTTCCTGGTCTTCTTGGTCTTCGGGCCACTGGCTTATCTGGTTTTCCCAAGGCATTCACCACCTCAGGATTGCGCCGTGCGCTGACCAATGCCGTCAGTGCTGGCCTGGCAGCACATGAACTCGACACCCTGGCACCTTGGACGCACAACTGCACGATGGTGAGCGCAGTGGCGTCACGCGTTCGAGTGATGCCAAAATGTGCGAGGTGACGAAATGGAAGCATCAGGGCTACAGGCAGCTTGCGCCAGCAATTGAGCCAATTTGCCAACTGTCTCTTTTTCTTGAGCATGTTGAGCCTGGCGAGATCTAGTGTGAGCCCAGTCTGCCATCGGAGGCAAGACATCAACTCCGAAGGTGTGCAAGCAAAGTTTGTGATCCCATGCAATCCTGTGCAGAGTTCCAGTCTTAACTTATAAAGCTATGGTGTAAATTCTACTATGGACTTAGCCTGGCTGCGCTCTGGTCATGTCACTGTCTTTTTGTATTCCCTGCTGGTCGGCCAGAAGACAATGCAGAGATTGGCGTGCTGGACTTCGCTGCAGCCCTGGTTTGCAGCTCGTGTGTGTAACGGCGTAAGTCTGCGCAGAGTAAGGCGGCGCTCTTGCAGGAGGTTGCCCTGGTTCGGCCTCTCGGTCGCATTTGTGCAAGATGCTGTGGTTTGTCGGGGACGAGAAGTGGAGCCCTGAAGCCTTGCGTCGCCAGGTCCGGGAAAGACACGGATCCATTGGATGCCTTGGCCGCTGTTCACAATGTAGACATTTTTCTCACCCTCGGTGTGTGGTTGTTAATGGTGGTTAGTTTGGCTTAAACAGATTTTCGCCCAGCTACTCCTCGCCCTGGCTTTTCCGTATCACTCAGAGAGTCTTGCAGGGTATTCCTGGAGGGCCGAGCCGTCATGAGCCGCACTGTAAACCGAACCGACAAACCGAGAAGTGCGGGTTTCGTTTGGACGTTTTGCCCACGATAGCACTGGGTCAAACTCAGACCTTCCTCCCACTGCGAAGGGGCGCCCATGGGCCTTCATTAAACCGGTCGAGGGGTTCTGGGAACCTCTGATGCCGCGGCCGGTTTCGGCCGGGACCGAGGCATGAATTTTCTTCATGTCTTGGTATGGCTTCCGTATGCTTCAGTATGCTTGAGCATGCTTCAGTATGCTTCAGTATGCTTCAGTGAAGGGTTTGGCATGCCGGGTCGTCCTCATCTGGTGCTGAGGTTTCTTTGATCGAGCTGTGTGATCCTGCGTAGAAGTTCAGGAGTCAGTTTCAGTAGGCTCGTCATGTTGCATCCAAAGGCCTGCCATGCCAAAGAGCTGGTTGTCAACAGCGCCCCAGAAGAGAATCTCCAGACGTGCAAGGCAGGTCAATACAGCGCACAATAGCGCACACGCGTGTACGAACACGACCCGAGAGACGGTCCAACTTAAGTTGAGAAGCCTCTTGTAACTTCGAACAGACTCCATCGATGCCTGAGTGCAAAGCGCCCAAAGCTGGCGTTGTGAACCAGAGTGCGGTATCCAAAGAGACAAGCCGCTCTTGACTTTGGGGAATTTCTGCAAAGCGTTCAGAGCGCAAGCTTGAAACTCAGACCCCGCCAAGGCGCCGCGGGCTTCGGCGGTTTTTCGCTGCGGCAGCACGAGCAGCGCGAGACGGGCCCTTTTTGCAGCCACCAGAATTGAGGCTCGAAAAAGATCTCAAGTCCTCCAAACTTTGCTATGAGCCACTACGTGCTGCCTTGGCAAATGCAAGACGTTGCCCTGCTTTTTGCACGGCTTTGGAGTTTGAACTTCTTGTGGTTCTTGTGGGCCAGGCTTCCACTGCCTGTGCTTCGGGCAGCAGGCCAAGCTGAATGTCTGGCCAGGGGCACTGGGCAGTTGTGGGTGTTCAGAACCGGCATAGGAGACTCCGGCATGTGGACGTCGGAATCCTTCTCTATGCCCACAGCTTGGGCTTGGTGTGCCGATCAGTTGCCCTGCAGTTTGCTGGCAGTGTTTGCCATTCAGCTGAGCTGAGGCTTGCGCCGATGGTCCCCTGGCAGCACTGCCTGATTTGACCTCAAGTTTCCAGCAAAGCAAGCGCAACTCTGGCACGCCGTGAGACGCCCGCATGTTGTGATACCTGAGAGAGGCAGGCCTTCTTTAAGACTTTTAAGCTCAATGATGGGCAGGTCACCTCTCTGATACTTGGCCCAGCAGCTGGGCGCCTACCATTTCCAGAGTTTGCCACATGCACCACGGGACTTCGCGCGGAGGTGAAGACTCGTCCGCCGCACCACCTCCGCGACTGGAAGCCAGATGCCGAGCCCCCCCCATCCCTGTCATCTCGAGTTCTCACACGACCTAAACCCTTCGGCAGGTCTCGAATCGGCTTCCATACTTAGGGAAATCTCACTAAGCCATGCCCACAATCAACATGTGTGGTTTCGATGAGTTCTGGTGAATTTCGGAGTTTCGCGGACAGTTTTGCGGAGTCTCCTCTGTTGAATAATTTCAAGTTACAGGGTCTTGAGGGTTTAGGGTTTGGGGTTTATAGCGTCCAGGGTAGAGGTTAAAGGTGGTTAATCATGGGCACACAACCTCTGCAGCTCCTCCCGCAGGTTCCTTTCAACATTTTTTCTGTTGTTTTTGGCTGCTACTGACACAAGGGGGGTCGGTTCCGACTTGAGCCAGAATGGCTAGCTCCAAGTTCAAGGCTAATAATTGGGTAATGCTCGGGGGGTTCCTTTCCCGCCTCTGCTCTCGCTGCCTCGCCCCCAAATGGATGCGAAGCTGCAGGCTCCCCAAGTGCTGCTGTGTCTGGTGCTGCTTCCCCCTTCCTCCTTACGAAGAAATGTTATGGCTTCTACTGGTCACTGGTAGCACAAAACAAACGAACAAACGCAAGCTTCGCCAAGCTCATCATGCTCATCTCAGATCTCACTGCACTGCGACAGCCCTTCTTCTTGAGTACTTCCGGCGTGCGTGCTCGCTCACACATACAATCCCAAGACCTTGCAACTAATCTCCTCCTCGACAGGCAGGAAAGCATTGCGGTCATGGAGAGAAAGAGCGGAGATGCTTGTCATCGGCATGTCGTACCACGCGAGTCGACTATCAACATGTAGCCGACAGTAGGCTGGTACGGCAGCCGGAGATTGAAGTCGAGGGTGGGGCAGGGTTCGCCAAGCCAGCTGAAGATGGAAGCAGAAAAAAAGGCAGGAACATACCAAGGAGGTAGCGCGAGCTAAAAGCACCAGCAGGAGGAGAATATGGAGACTTGCGTGGATGTTCCTCCGGATATCTGGCGATCCTCTTTGTCTTTCCCTCACAAAATCTCACAAAGCTCCGATGTGCCAAGGCCTCGCCTTCCAAAACCCGGCTTCCTCCGTGGCCAGAACCTCAGCATCTCACAGAGCTATACAGAGCTACGGAGCTCCAAAAGGATAAGGCGAACAGGCGAAGGAATCTGCGAGCAGCGAGAAGACTGAACAATCTGAACAGAAAGTCCATGTTTTTGGTTTTTGGATTTCTTTACTTTCGCCCTCTGTGTTCGAGGTTGGCGGCCTGAAGAACTCGCGGAGACGGCGTTCCTGTTTGCGCAGAGCAGATCGGGCCTTTGAGAGATGGCCAGAACGTCAAACGTGGAAAATGCAGCAAAATAATCGAAAGTCCTTTCATCCTCACGTGTGCCAAGGCGGCCGGCTGCCGCTCGAAGGCCACACAGCAGCGGCACTTTCGATCACTTTGCTGGTGCCGAGCCTCAGTGGCACGGTAATCATGCGAGAGTGCGGCTTCTTTTTCTGGCCACTCCGAAACATGGATGTGCCCCTGCTTGTGCCCTACTTGTGGTTGAGGCGCAGCTGTCGACCCTGAAGGCCGCCTTGCTCTCTGGGGAAGGACACGTCTCCAAAGCAGCACTTCCACCATGTGAGATTTATTACAATTCCCATTTGAACAAGCGCCATGACAGGAGGGATGGAGCATCCACTCGCACCAGAGGAGGTCCTTGGTAGTGTGCCAGAATACCAACACATGCCTGCTCTGTTTTCTCTCCGGTTGGATGGAGTCCAGAGCCAGGTCGATCGCCGGGTCCTCTCCTTTGCCACGCACGCCGTGAAGATCTTGTCCAGGCCTTACTCATCCAGATGTTCCTGGAAATGTGTCGTGTTTGTGTCTTCTTTGGCTGCAAAGTGACGTTGCTGATGTCCAGTGCCTTTGGTTGAGAATGGGCTGGGCTGAGCCGCAACCGAGGCAGCATGCGGCCGAGGAGCCGTTCTTTGAGTCCTGGCGACCTCCGAGGAAGGGCCCAGGAAGGGCCTCCACGATGCTCGTTGATGCTTGTTGCGTGCTGTCGGCTTGCCCTCCACCAGGATTCGAACCGACTCCCTACGTGGAGCGTTTCGATACAGAGGCGCTGTGAGACCCTGCGTGTAGCCCCTGCTTGCAGCGCCGTGATAACTTAACGTGCGCCACATCGACCTCAGCTGCGGCCATCAAGTGAACTGCCTGCCATGCCCGTCCTGTCTGCTGCCCCCAAATACAAGTAAATCTCAAGTACAGGTCCCTCTCTAGGCCGTGACAGCATAACAAATAGCCAACTCAGAACACATGTGCGTCGAAGTCCTTGGACCATGAACTATTTGCAATTTGCGCAGAGCTTGCCTTGGGGGAAGTTCCTTCACAGTTTCAGACGCGCATGGCGGCTTCCCAGCCATCGGATCCACTGCTAAGCCTGGATCCCAAGCATAGGCTTTCCGGACAGTGACATGACATCAGTCATGACATCATGACATCAGTCATGGCAGCACATGACCATGTTGCAAGAGTGCCAGAGAAGGACTCAAGCATTGTTTCCACTTTGTCACGGTCTTTCTTGTCATCTTTTGAGACATCTTGAGTCCTCTCCAGGCTCCGAGGCATTGGCGGCGGGGCCCTCGGAAGCGGATGCGTCGGATGCATTTTTCTGAACTCTCAGTGAGAAGAGAGTGCAAGCAATGTGCACTGCGAAAACAAGACACCGAAGAGAGTATTTGTTTTCTAGTTCCTAATTGTGTGAGAGTTTCCCCATCGAGGCATCCCATGGCCCCTCACGTTGGCGGACAGCTCGGGGCCGCCCGACCTTGGGAGAGTTCTCTGTTCTCCTTGTCGTATGTTCTCTCGCATGTTCTCTCGCGTGTTCTCTCGCATGTTCTCTCGCATTCCTAAAACAGAGCACAAGAAGCCAGCAGCAGCCGATGCAGTATCTGGCTGGTTTCGTCTTTGCTTTTCGTTTGACGCTTTGTTCAAGGTGTCATGCTCATGGTGAAGGCAGGCCAGTCTGACCTCGATTCGACATGTGCTCAGCACCTAGCAGAGGGCGGTAGTTCAGCTGTTGACGCCGCCCTGTAGGTAAAGAATCATGCAATACGCTGGGGCCGAGACACGAGCCTTGGAGTTTGAATACAGCAAGCCTTATGCAATGGTACATGTGTTATAGGCTGGTTGCTTGTTTGTACGACTGTACGGTAACATGAGGAAGTTGATGAGAAACTTGAAAGACGAAGCCCAGAAGAAGGCTTGTGGGCGACATGAACCCTCAGAAGGGGAGAGTTCAAGCTGCAGGAGTAGCACTGCGCTGTCGCCAGCGTTGTTCGCTACGACGATGTGCGCCAGGCCTACATCGCCAACATCATCATTGTTGCCTGTTTGTGCAAACGGAGCTCCTGCACAAAGAGGTTTGTGACAAGATCGTGTGAGCTTGTTCCTGCAACCTGGGCAGGGCCAGGCAGTGTGGACGGTTTGCACACCATTTGGTGTAAATGGTTGTTGTTGATGGACAAAGCATGCTGTGCCGTGCTGGTTGCGAATCTGCCACCGATGCACACTACGACCTGTGTGCATCGCAGACATACTGCCTTGTTCAAGTGACCCTTCTTCATCTTAGTAACATGGGGGCGCATAAATCCACATAAATCCTGCCAAACTCCAAAGATGTGGCGGGAAACTCGAGAGCTTGGTAGGAAACCGTGATGTTTTTTCAGATTCATCACTGTCCATTGTATGCGTTGGGTGGGGTAAGGTTTTCGTGCAAAGTGTGAGGGGAACCGCATACCCGGAGCCAGAAAGTGGGATTCAAGTTGGAGTTTGGTGGGATTTGAGTGGGAGTTTGGTGGGATTTAAGTGGGAGTTTGGTGGGCTTCAAGCGGGAGCTTGGTGGGATTTAAGTAGGATTTTGATGGGGTTGGATCGCTGATTTAATAGTCGTTTAGAGTGCAGTGCAATTTGGTTGTTTTTAGTGCGGGGTTTGTTGTTTCTAGTGGGGGTTCGTCTGTTTCTAGTGGGGGTTTGTCTGTTTCTGGTGCAGGTTTATCTGTTTCTAGTGGGGGTTTGATTGTTTCTGGTGGGGGCGTTTGTCTGTTTCCAGTGGGGCTTTGTCTGTGTTTAGAGGGGGCTTGTCTGGTTCTAGTGGGGGTTTGTAGGTTTTCGGAAGGCTCCTACCTGAATTGAAAAGACCCCAAACCAAGAAGGCAACGATGCAACCAAGAAGGCAACGATGCTAATCCCTGAGCTGATGACGGAAAGGCGGGCTGACGCTGATGCCAAACAGCCAGTCATGTTTGGAAGCATGTTCTGCACCAACGTGGGCAGCTGGTAAAGAAAGATGCGGAGTCTTGGGGATGAAGTCTTTTAAAGAAAAAACCGCTCTGGTGTCTCGTGCGGCCTAAAGAAGACCTGGGCGCTTTCAAACTGTGCAAGGAATGAACTTCAAAGTTGCCCAGCGGAGTGTCACGTCCGAACCATGGCATGATGGCCCTACGAAAGACTGACGAAAAGGATTTGGACATCTGGGAGGGGAAGGCTTTGGCTGTGAAGGAGAGAGGGACATCCAAAAAAGTGGGACTCAGCCAAGCCATGCGAAAGCCGATATGTCCAATATACCAACGAAGACTCGCTGTTGCTGTGTCCGAGGTTATCACAGTGCTGGGAGTGTTGATGTCAATGCAGCCTGGATCAATTTTAGTTGTTCCGCTTCGGGACAGGATTTGCAGGGCTTCATGTTTAGGATTGTTTAGGCACCTGGCGTTCCGATCTCGTGCTGTCGAGATTGAGCCAAGACTCATGTTTCCCTGTGAAGGGCTCTGCTTGGAAGTATGTTCTGCTCCAACCTTTGCCCAAGTGCGAGAGACGGGGTGGAAGAAGCGGGTCGAACGGGCTCATCTTCGTGCCCAATACCGTTGATTTCTGCCGCAAGGCGTAGCCATCTGGACCTGCCCGAGAGGTGAAGGCTTAGCACAGGTGTGGTTGACAAGAAGCACAGCTCTTTGCCGAGACTCTCAGTCATCGGCCCCAAATTGCCCCAACCAGCCTTCTCATAGACTCTGTCAGCACTCTGAGATCAGATCTGGCGTGCATGCGAATGACCCGAAAGCCTTGAGATGAGGACAAAGTCATGCCTCTTCCACATGGAGGCTGTTGGACGATGGGACCATGGGCATCCTTACAAGTTTTCGCAGCTCGGACTGCAGTGGCCGGTATGGGGTGACCATGGGTGACCGGTTCGGGTCTTCGGGGGAGAACCACAGATAATGGGAGGTATGCGCTCAGCCTCACCATGACTGTCTTCCTCCTGAAGATGCTTCTGGCTCCCATCAAGAGCTGCTCCAAAAAACCGACATCAGCCAAGGACGAGGCCCCGACCATTCCAACATGCTCGGTACACGCTCGGCACACGCCCTGCACACGCTCGGCACACGCTCCGCAGTGGCATATTCTCTCGAAACATGCATGCGCCTTCGCACTTTCAGAGGTGGACGACGACGACGACGCCGAGTTGGCCCCGAAGACAATCCTGGATCATATAATGCCCTGGGTCTTGCTGGTGCTAGTGCTGCAGGGAGTGGCAAGTTCTGGCTAGACGGGCGCCAGCTGGAAGATGTTTGTGCATTGTTGGGCTTGGCTTTGGGTAGATTTGGGTAGTGAGGTCGTTTTCACAACCTTCGAGCTGCTTGGATGTGGACAGAGGATTGTGCGCGCCTTTGCAGGAGTTCAATGCTTTGGGGGGTATCGGGCCTGCCATCCAAGGATGTTAATGGCAACCTTGTCAAGTCTTGGCCTGCTGTATGGAGCGCCGACGACGGTTTTCGTAGCTTGGAATGTTGTTCACATAGTGATCTAGGGAAATGCTGGTAAGGCTGTGGCGGTGCCAGTGCCAGGGCTCCTCGTTCCACAACTAAGGTCGTCTTCAAAAGCTCCAAAGCAGTGTTCATGGCGCTGATGTCCGTTGTCATCTTAGGGTGCCCAGTCCAGAACACCGGTATTGCCAGCGGGGTGCTTTGTTTGTATTTTGGTTCGCCTGTGCATCTTCGACCCAGGCGCAGGCTCAATGCTCCACAGTGGCTTGACAGCAGCTGGCTCACGAGGGCGGAGCAGTTCCAGTTCATGTCGGTAGTGCACTTTAGTGCACTTCTCCAGGGTCAAACGCAGGTGGTGCTCGCTTCTGGTGATCTCGTCGGCCCTGCTGCTTTCGACGGTGGCGGAAGGTTTTTTGGCTAGAAGCAGGCGAGCATCCCACAGCACAGAGTTGTGGCCGCTCACTGAGGCAAAGGTGGAAAGAAGGGCAAAGGGGAGCATGAGGTAAATCTCGAAGGTCCCATGCATCTTGGTGGCATTGCAGCATTTCGTCTATGACTATGCTTTATCGCAACGCTGCGCTATGCCGTGCCGTGAGGCTCCTGTTGCTGTCCGAGCTGTGCCATGCCACTCGTCTGAGCGAATGGGTTTTTTGCGAAGTGCATGGCTGATTGCGATGTTCCCGGAATGGCTCAGAGAAGTCTAGGGAATTTCAGAGCTGTGAGATAGTTTTGTGGTTGATATCTGCTCTGCAAAAGGCCGAGTAGAGTGTTCCGGATACCCAGTGCCACTTGGTTTTTCTAATTCTAACGCTACGCGACCCGCCTCGGCCCGGCCCAGCGCATCCGCGTGAGCATGGTGATTCCGCAGCGCCCAGGTCGCTGGACCCCAAGCAATAAGGGCTGGGTTTAGGGTTTAGGGTTCCGGGTTTATGGTTTATGGTTTGGGGTTTAGGGTTGAGGGTTAGTTTAGGATTGAGGGCTGAGGGCTCAAGGTTCACGCTCTGGGTTTTAGGGTTTTTTTGGGTTTAGGGTTCAAGACGGTTCGGCTTGGATTGATCGTAGGGTTGAGCCAGGCCCCTCAGGGGGGCTCAGGCAAGGGTAGGGGGGGTGGGGGGGGAAGGGGGGGGGAAGGGGGGCAGAGGGGAAGCGGCCCGAGGCCTCGGCGGATTTTTGTTGCTACCATTGCAAATCAATCCAACGGCAGCATGAAACCGCAACTCTCCCATCTACTGGCTTTTCGAAGGATTCGTTTTTGTGTGCTGAAAATAAGCTGGACTTAAGTGGGTTGAGTTTTGCCCCCTTCTCGCTCCTCGTCCGCCTGCGTTGTGCAGAGTTGGTATGAAAGGTGTATGAAGTGCTTTGCAATGGGGCCTTTGAATCAGTCGGCTACCCGACAGTGCAAAATCAAGCAGCCGAAGGTCCGAAAGGTGAGGTATACATGCTACAACTCATTTAAAACTCAAAGAGCCTTGATTGCAACTGTCCCGCGGATGGCTGACTCGGTACTTTTGTTCAAATGCCTCCGGCTGGGGCATCTCTCGTTGAGCTTTTCGGTTAAGGTTTTCTAAAACGTTTAGAGTTTCGGGGTTTGCTCGCTCCTTGCATGCCGAGAACAACAGGAACTGTTAGCATGACACCTAGTTTCGAGACACGTAAGCAACAGGGAAGGCAGCGATTTTTCTGTCCCATGGACGGTGGCTTCTAGGGCTGCAACAGCATATAGCAACATAAGGAAGAACCAGCTCAGCTACCCACGCACATGGCAGAGAACGGGAGCTGGCCAGGGCATTCCGAGACGAAGCGTGTTGACTCCCTGAGATTGTGTGACTGAGGCCATGATGCTCATCTTTCAGGACGAATTGACTCATGCTTAGCAACCTGAGCATCGGACTCACATTTCATGGGGCTTGCAGGAGATCGCCGTGCGTCAGTATTGGCCCAACCCAGTCAGCTTGCTGAGCTGGTCTGTTGCTCGGCGTCACTAACCTTCACATGCATTGTGCTGCGTGGCGAGCCCGGGCGTGTATTCTGATGTCAGAGCAAAGACCAGCAAGAGAGTGCGGCGTAATGTGCATTTTATGACAAAGTCCGAAGACTCAAGTGCAAGCCTCTGGTTGTGTTTGGACCGTAGTGTTGGAGTCGCATTTCGTAACACGACATGTGAGGCCTGCTTTGGTGTCTTCCTCACGGCCTGCCACCTGCCGGCAGAGATTGGTGCCACAGCGGGGTGCAGCCATAGGTCTGGCATGGTGTTATCAGCAGCGCTAAAAAGCAGGGCGCAGGTACTTCGTCACTTAGATTCACTTACTCAAGCACTCAGCTCAAGGTTCCATGTACAAGTCCCGCAGCATCTTTGTGGATCTCCCAGACGGAGGGCGTCGTCCCTTTGACGATCCAGCAGTGCCGCCAGCCGCACTCTAGACTCCAGATGACTCCAGACATTTTCAGCTGTCACATGCTGTCACATGCCCGAGACACTCCGAGCCATCGTGAGGTCACGACTGGAGACATGACACACAACTGATGAGTGAACCCAGTGGCATGTTGGAGATGTTCCCTATCTGGGCCACAGGACGTGCTATACATGATGTCAACCAGTCCAGCGCTTGCCTTCTGCCTCATCCTCAATGTCTCATCGCATCTCACTTCCGACGCGCCTCAGCCGCCCTACTGGGTGAGGCAACAAAGCTGCTCCACCTTTGAAGCTGGTAGAAGAGCTCCTTCGAGGTTGCTCACATCATGATCCTGAAGCACATCTCTGCCCTGGCGCGGACGCTGTGTGACACACTCAAGATGATCATGATGCATCTTGGATTGAGATCTTGCACTGCAGCATTGCGCGGCTTGTGCTTTCATCTCAACCCCGCCTCAATCTTCCTCCGCCTCCTTCGTATTCTTCGATTGGGACATGTCGTTTTCCTGTGCTGTGCCGCTATATCCTCGTACTAGTCATAGAGTGTCACAGTCACGGCAAACTCGGTACCGGATGAATCGCTGCCACTGGAAGGGTATGGAAGGTTGGTAGGCATGGCACCCCCCTCGGCCCAAAGCAAAACTTCAGCTTAGGGATCCCGCTCCATTGTGACAAGGAGGGTCTAACCTCCGCATGTGCTGCTTATGCTGTGCATAGTCTGTATATGCATGCGCTCAGGGAGGTGGCTGTGGCATAACACAACGTAGATTGGCTGTTGGGTGGGCTCGACTGGCAGCATCACTGTCATCCGAGCCACTGTCCACTCATCTTTTGTCACCTTCTGTCTTTCCTCGGTGCAGCTTGCGGACAGGTATGGGTATGGGTCTTCCCAATCCTTCCCCACATCTTGTGGCCGTTGTGATTGGCAAATGCTGCATTGCGCGCGCACACACACACACGCACACAGGCACACTGCGCACTCAAGGTGGCTGCTGGGAAAGGCCTTTTGGCTTCTGGCGATTCTCCCGCCTTTGGCCGAGCCCTGGCACCTTGACGTGCACCTTGAGAGCCGCCACTCGTAGGGAAGTCTTGTACATGAAGGAAGACCTTAGCTAATTGTTTCTATAGCTTGAGAGAAGTCTCTTTATGTCTCTTTCTCTTCCAAACATGAGAACAGAGGCACCCCGGCCTGTTGGGCTCCTGGCTGATGATCCCAGCGATCGGGGCGGCGCGGGAACCCGGATTGCTGCCGTCAGCAGAGTTCGAGACCTTTCATGACCTTTCGAATGAGCTGAGAATATTGAGCTGAATCGAGCTGTGATTTTTGCAGGTGGTGTACGGAATGCTCATGTTCAAGAACGCTGTGTTCGTCACCTGTTTGCAGCTGGCAGTGTTTGAAGGTGGATGCGAGATTCAAGGCAGGACAAAAATGTCCAAAAGTGCTCCGGCCCTGACAAGCTCTTAACAACATTAACAACTCTGACTGGGCTTCTCTCGCCAGTCGTTCTAAGTGAGTTGGGAATGGCCCGAAGCCTGCGAGTCAGCCTGCGAGTCAGAGTGGGGTCAAGCCCATGTCGCATGCCAAGCTCAAGGAGAGGACGTGGCCATGTCGTGGCATGTCGCAGACAAACGCTGGCATCCGAAAGACCGAAAGAGGGCACTCTTTGTCAGGCTCACTGCACGGTTAGCTGTGGCCGTGGGTACTAGGACTTCAGATTGCTGAGGCTCTGTGGTGTTCAGATGCTTTCAGTGTACTTGGCATCGTTGCCTTTGTTTGGAGTTGGGCTCCCGTGTGGCGCTTCGAGCTTTGGCCCAGTGGCACCTTTGCCGAGTAGTGGGCGTGGCGAATCATGCCGAAGGCGGCTTTAGGTGCTAATTCCGGCGAGTCCTCCATGAGCTCTGACAGTGGTAGGCGGTGGACGTCTACTGTGCGTTCGACCACTGACTTAGCTTCGGGACGTGTTGAAGAGTGCAGAGAGGTGTGGAATTCGGTTGGGGACATCCTGGGGACATAACAAGGCTGTGTCTATCGTTGCAAAAGCATGTCTAAATGATCTCATCATGCTGGGCATAGTCGTCGGATTGCAAATAGAAACGAGGTTCCGATCATTTACGCGAAAGACGAAGATGGAGTGTGGCGGCTCCAGGAGTGTGAAGTGCTGCTCGCTGCGTGTTGCTGCGTGTTGCTGCGCGTAGCAGTGTAGCTTGCTGTAATTTGTCGCATCTTGTCACCCATCCTCGCAGGAGGTGATGCAGGAGGTCGAGGGTGAAGATGCAGCGGAGGTTGAAGAGGTTGTCACCAACATGGACGTGACTCTGCCTTTGTGATATGGATTTGCTTTGGCTGAGTTCACATCACGGTGTCACGGCATTTGGCACCACCGCGCGTCTTGCAAGGTGTGTTGCTAATCCCAGCCAGCCGTGATTTACGTTTTGCCGAGGACCCCTTCTTCATGGAAGCATTTCGTTCACAAAAGCTGAAGAAGAGGACTGTTAAAAGTCGAAGCGGAAGTGACAGCTTGAGAATCCTTGGTTGGTTCTCAGCTGAGAAGCCGGTTGAAGCCAGGAACCGACGCCTCCTGAACAAGCTCAAGGCAAAAAATATGATCTCGAATCTGAAGGGTCTTCGGCTTGGTCTTGCTGCCTCCTCCCTGTGGCGTTAGGATCGTTTTCGCCGAGAGCTCCCGCCCAGGTGCTGCTGCGAAGGCATGAGCTGGAAAGGGGCAGCGAACTGCCACAATTGGCGCATCCAGCTACAGATAGTCGTGAAGGCTCCACAACACGGCCGCAGCCCGGCGAGGGTCCCACCACGCAGAATCAGAGCCGGGGTGCCCGTTCAGGCCCGTTTAGGCCCTCTGACGAGATCTCTCGAGGCTCTGAAGAGCAAATGCCCACAGCGTGCGTGCGCACCGGATGGAAAAAACAAGACAAACGAGAAAAAAGCCTCGCGCCTGTTTTTGCCAGCGATGTCAAGTTCACTTCTGCAGAAGAGCGGCTTCTTGTTGGAGCAAGTGTCGCCCTCGAACACGTTTTGAGAATCCCACAGAGGTGCTTGAGGATGAGCGCCTCTCGGCGCAGATTGTGTGGAGGCCGGCCGCATTGTGTGTCAGCTAAGCCGACTGAGATACTAAGTCACCGTCACTCGCAGCTTGCTGTTCTGACCTCTTTAGTGCATGGAATTGGATGCTTAAGCTGGCTTAAGGCTTGCAGGATTGGAGGCCCAAGGCTGGGAAGTTGGGAAGGCAGGGGCAAAAACGGGCTCCTGTGTTTGGGCCGAAGTCCAAAAACCTTGCAACAATCCAGATTTTCGAGCATAGTCCTTTGTCCTAGGTTTTTTGGTGTAGAATTGAATGTTTGCATTCGAAATGACAAGCTCCTTGATCAATGCAGACAGGATGTCGAATGAGCGCCATGTTGCTTATATTCCTTGACTTTTACCGTCGCCATTTTCACGAACTTTTGGCTCCAGCAGGGCCTGCTCCCAGAGAATGCTTCAAGATTTGCTCATCTTCTGAGCACCAGCAAAACTAGCAAGCACATACTCAAAATAGCACTCCCCAGTCAAGCACATGCAGGATCCTAGGATCCAGGATCACGTAGGCATATCCACCTGTGTCGCGTTAAATGACACATGTGCATCCTGGTGGCAGCGCTTGGCTGCCACCCGTCCTTACCTTTTGTGCCTCGGAGTGTCTCAGAGTGCAGATGGGCGCAGCTTGAATTTGTCGAAGATTCTCACGTAGCATCGACTGTATCACTCTCGGCAGACAGTTTCATAGTTTCGGTGGCATGTGTACATGTGTGTATTTATGTATATATGTATACACACACACACCACACCACAGATGTATGCACATGTGCATGCAGTTTTTTGACATATGACATATACATATACATATATATATATATATGTGTCTATGTAAATACAATATCAGATCAGACATGAACATATGTAAAGCAGTGTGGTTAGGCTTTAGATTCGTTAGTAACAACATGGTCCTGGGCAACATGGTCCTGTACCAGTGCGACACCAGCGTCCAAGATCTGCGCCCACAACCGTGACGAGCAGCGCGACCGTCCGAGCCGTGACCTCCCTGCATCTGACAGTGGCCGGTTGTTGTGCAGACGTGGCTGATGATGTGACGAAGTACCATGTGCAACTAGGCCGTGTTTTTTCCATTCGCCTCGACCCAGGAGATGACGGCCTGGAGGAGGACTCCCAGCTTCTCTGTGGTCGTGATGTCAAGGCAGGGTTACCTGATTCTTCCAAAGGGCCCCTGCGTCCAGAAGGGAATAAGTACGCAGAATATGCGGGGTCATGAAAGTTTTGAGGTTTCACATGTATATCCGGTCGGGGGGGGGGGGGGTGGTGATGATAAGCAACTTTAATATGCACCCGCGTCCCATCGCCGGTTGAAGAAAACTGTGGCCCGGGCCCCGTGTTTTTTTTGCTTAGCCCTGGCTGCAAGGGTTTCCACAGCCACGGTTAATGCCTCTCATTTGTACAAGAGACAGACCTCCAGACGGTCGGACGGTCAGACGGTCGGACGATCGGACGGTCAGACGGTCGGACGGTCAGACGGTCGGACGGTCAGACGGTCGGACGGTCAGACGGTCGGATGGTCAGAGGGTCGGACGGTCAGACCGTCGCACGGTCAGACTTTCGGACGGTCGGACGGTCAGACAGTCGCACGGTCAGATGCTCGGACGGTCAGATGCTTAGACGGTCAGCTGCTTAGACGGGTCAGATGCTCGCGCGGTCACAGCATCTGAGACTTTTTTGAAACCCATCATGCGGGCACTTTGTTTGCAAATGGGGGGGGGGGGGGGCTGCGCCCCCCCCCCCCCCCCAACTCCCCCGCTGTTTTCATCCGTGCAAGCTTGTTTCAAAGCACGTGAATCGCTTTGAAACCTTCCGATACGAGCGTATGAAACTCATGATGCGAGCATTGTGTTTGCAAATGGGGGGGGGGGCGGGGGCTGCGCCCCCCCCAGCCCCCCCGCTTCCCCCCACTCGAGCACTTCTCAGAACAGTATACAACACTTCGGAAATGCGGATATGCCGAATGCTATTCCGGCGGCCGCAATCTGGAACGCTGCCAAAACCCATCAAACAATTATTCCTCGGCGGGGGCTGGGTTGGGGAACCCACGAAGTAAAGTCGCATGCGGCCTCTTTAAACATATTTCTAAAAGATTATAGATTCTGGTCTTACGGGCATGTTGAAGGCATGTAAGAGCTGGGGCAAGAGGCGTTGTGAGAGCGTTAATGCTTTTGGACTTAGAGCCCCTGCGTGTTCGTCGTTGCAGGCCGGTGGAACGGTGCTTGGCGTCCATGCCGTCGGCGGAGGCTTTGCAGCGCTGACCAACTGCTCGAGATCCCAGGTCGAAGTGCAAACCTTCAGAGAACGGGGCACGGCACTAGGTCACTAGGTGCCATTCTGACCTTTCGCACCTTTTTAGGTCGGACAACTGTGAAATGGCCTGAAGACGAGCGAACATCCCGAGGACCATCCTGCGCTTGCCACGAGCCCTATGTCCTTGGCAGCTGCAACAAACACAGCTAAGGACTCCTGGTGGAGTTCCTTGCTGCGAATGGTACAGCCCAAGCAGAGGAGTTCATCCGCTCCCGAAAGGCACCTTAATGATCTTGCAAGCCTTCCATGCAAACCTACCTAATGTCGTATTCCTTCACTTCATTGCAGTGAAATTGCAGCCCCTGATCAGATAGATCCATTTCATGCTATCGCTGGGCACATCTTCTGCGATTCCCCAGAAATATCCTACTTCTGGAGCGCTCCAGCAGAGGGGGTCCAGGGACAGGACCGACGCCAGTTTTTCAAGCGAGCACCTGAAGCAAGCTTGGGGGCTTGGGCCGGTTTCCAAAGATGCCGGCCGAGGACGCAGAAGGGTGGTCCTCTGGCCGCAAAATTCTGGACCGAATCCTAGCTGAACATAGCTGAACTCAATGGTGATCCAGAATCGTGAAGAAGCTCGCTGTGCTTGTTGGTCTCTCACGCTTTGGAGGTGGAGTCTTCGTAGTGTCGAATGAGAACCCCTTGGGCGCCTCACCGGCACCGAGGAATGTGGTCACACCACAATGCAACTGCACGTCATAGCAACACACACCGTGACGGTGAATCACATTGTACACCCCAAGCTTACTGAGAGCTTGTGCCTGGCCAAGCTGCAGGCCAATCTATCATCATACAGTCATATGTTGGATCATGTTGGCTTATCCTCCAGCTGCAGTTGAACTTCTAGGCGTTTTATGCAGTTGTTTTTAAGTGGGAGCTCGTCACAGTGTCATACCCGGTCGTGACAGTGTAGTAAGGTGAGACCTGGCCGAAGTGTGCGTGGCTTCGCCGCGAGGTGCAGGCCTTCCTGGATCAGCTACCAGGCTCTCGCTGGACCATCGCTGGAGTCTCACATGTCCCACTCAAATCTCGTGGCTTAAACGTGGGCCTACCAAATAGATCATAGGCCCAAAGGTCAAGTTTGTGTGCAGCCTCTGCAACTCCATTCCCTTCAGTGATGCAGTGCCGGGCGACACCGCGAACGAGGCGAATGAGCAGCTGGTGAGCCACGTTCACCTTGGCTTGGCCGGATGCCCATGGCTTATGCAAGGTCATACTGGTAGAAGCTTGCGAGGCCCCAGGTGTGAGCATGGTTGTCATTGCACAGATTACAGGCTGAGATTATGTCGCGGTGTGACGTCCCAGAGTTGAAGGACCCAGCCCTGTGCTATGTGCACATGCAGTGCGTTCGCCTGTGATGCATGTGTCACACATCACCCAGCTGAATGGCCTCGTTGGCAGGTCCCATCTAGGCCCGCCGAAATGATGACTGCATCGCTTCCGTGCCATTCTTTATACCTCTGAGGAACCGCGTCACGGTGCCGAATGTGTGGGTCAGGAACGAAGTAGAGCTGACATGTTGCAGGCTTCCACGGTGGTTTCCCGAAGCCATCGAGGACAGAGAAGTCGAGAGCACATTAGAGCACTTTGAGGGCACACTTTTGCAATGAGTGTGAAGACAATGTGCGGGCTAGCCGGGGGGCAAGCCGGGGGGCAAGCCGGGCAAGCGGCCACGAGGAGAGGCTGCACTCTGGTCCTTTCTGCCCCTGGCGGCCAGAGCTGCAGACATTCGGCACCGTGTCTCAGAGGGTCCTTGTGTGCCTCGCCTTCATGGACAACCGCATGTTGCAGCATGTTGCGGCATGTTGCAGCTGCACGTTTGCAGATTCCCATGCGCGTTCGGTCCCTTTCTAGGTGTGATGCCGAGAGGCGGCAGACGCATCGTGGCTCAAGGAGATGTTGGCTCATGTAGGAAAGGGCCACGTCCGTAGGTTCTCCCGGACCCCCCCCCTCCCCCCCCTCACACCAGCATTGAGGCATTACTTCTATCGCCCTACGAACATCGGCAGCCCACCGCAGGTTGGACCATGGAGGCCCATGTAATGACACGGGAGCATGCAACACACTGATAGGCCCTGTTGGGCTGCTAGGGCCTACATTCGAGACTGATCCGGATTGCACGCAGGCGATTCGTTCTTCCGTGGCGCCTTGCCCAAGCACAGCCAGTGCGATCCCCGGGCATGTATTCATGTAGTCGGACCGCGGCGCGCCCATGGGGGAGACGGATGGAGACGGGTGGGGGCAGCGTTGTTGCCTCTCTCGATACATGAAACTGAACCAGTATGCTTTATGTTTCTGGAACAAGATGTGTTGTCACAAGCGCTCATGCCTTTTGCGAACATGCCGAAACCACTGGTATTTACAGCGTTGTTGCTTCTTGCACAACATAACGCACAAGGATGTTCGACGTGAAGCATGGCATCTTCGATTCTATGAGCCCTGATCAACAGTATTGGATCAAGTTGTGTGCCAAATCCTCGGCAGTTTTCCCATCATTCTCACCTCAAAAAGCACTGTTTGTCCCCCAAAGCCCGACTCCACTGTAAGCAACAATGTCAAGTGACCGCGCGCTCAATCGTGCCATGTTCCGAAGACTACACAGCCATGGGTTCGCTGTGGACGATGTAGTTTGGTAAAACCCTCGTCGTCGCGATAGTCGCAGCACGTGGAAGCATCGCGCAGCCGATGGCCTTGCAGATTTGCAGGTGTGTGTGTGAGTGTCTGCATCTGGCAGAAGGGTAAGAATATGTAAGAATGGAGTGTTGACGTTGTTGACGTCCTGGTGAACACGGCATCTCCTCAGCGACATGAGCCGAGTGGTGCAGCTCTGGGAGAGCACTTGAACCTCATCACACCTCTCTGACATACTGTGATGGGAAGCGAAGACTTTACATGACCATTGTCAAAGCTCCCATCGGATTCCTTCAGAGTGCGTTGCGCATTTTCCTTTTGCATGTGCCAGTGTTGGACTGCCACGGATGGGTCTTTGGACACTTGCCCTCAGGCACTGCAGCAAGCGGCGAAGCTGTGAGCGAAGCTGTGAGCGAAGCTGTGGACGAAGCTGTGAGCCAAACAAAGTTCAAAGCATCCTCGAGCAAATTTTTTTCAGGACGTGAGCGAAGCTTGGCTGTGATCGTTTGACCTTGTCAATCCTGTCTTCGAAGCAGCGAAGCCAGGTGGCGGAAGATGATGCTCGCACCTGCCCTGGCTCTGACATGCGAGGAGGCGTGAAGAGGTAGCGGGGGCGTGCAGGCGTTGAGCAGGCTTTGAGCAGGCTTTGAGCAGGCTTTGAGCAGGCGTTGGGCAGGCGTTTGAGAAGGTGTGAGCAGGCGTGAGCACGCGAACTCCGCGTTTGGAGCCTTTACTCTCCTCGAGTCGGGCCCAGGCAACCTCACACAGCCGTCAAGGTGCCGCCCGTCGCCGAAGCAAGGCGATTGCCGAGGCCACAAGCAGAGGACGTTGCAGAACGGCGAAACGACTGAAATCTAATTGCTGAGCTGCGTCGTCCCCGAGACCCTCCCAGTTGGCAAAATACTAAACCTTTGACAACTCCTAAATCCCTCAAAGGTGCGGCAATATCAACAGGTCGTACCGACTAGTGTAAGACTTACGTCTCATGTGGGTCATGCACGAAGCTCTCTGAAAGCAGGCAGAACTTGAGAAAGTAATGGGCAGACCGTGAATAAATCGTGCATTGCACGAGCTGGTTGACATTCATGATGCTGCATATTTCGTCACGCCTTCTGTGTTGTTCTTTGCAGAGGTTGATACAGTGGCGGACAAAGAAAGGCCCACTGTTTTTGGGCACTGCCTTTCAGTGGGGCGTCCTTGCGGCCGGCTCTTTGTTTTGTGGCTCCTTGGTTTCAGGCTTTTGCGGAGTTCCTTGCTGGCGACCGCAGCGCGCTGCTTGATGCTGCTTGCAAGATGCCGGAGTGAAGGGTCTTTGTGCCGTGGGGCAGAGTCAATGCTTTCTGTTGCGTTTCCAGGCGCTTGCCATCTTCCAAGACCTGGGTGGGGAGGCTGTGTGAGCCTCAAAGACATCGTTCACAGGCCTTTCGATTTCTGCATCTGTCCCTTGTGGCGGCGCAGGGCACAGAGTGCCACCATGCGAAAGCATACTGTATCGTGGCATGGCGCTTTAAGGCTTATGCTCCAGGTCGCAGCTGTGCCTGCTGGGGAGGGGATTTGTGAGCCAATGCGCAGCCAGCCTCATAAGTCGAAGGCTGAACACAGCGCTCATCGCATCACTTCAACGCAAGCACAGCAACAAGCGAAAGCGCGACGACGCTCCCTTGTCAAACTGGCTGCAGAGCTTTGCAGCTCAGAGTTGAATGTAACAGTGGTCAGCATCGAGCGCCGTCGCTGAGTGCTGCATAACGGAAAACTCAAGGCTTCTTCCAAATCCGAGCTGCTTCGGATGTTGACAAGAAGGCCAGACGACCTGGGACGACTTCTCGTGCTGGCGTCCATGGAGGCCAGCAGGGTAGCACAGACTTGGTCTTTCAGGCTGGCGCCTCCAGCATCACCGGCGAGAAGCACTGTGAGGCCCAATTTCCTGAAAAGAGTTTCGCCGAGGGTGCCGGTCTGCCACGCGCCGCATCATGCCTTGCCACGTGCCGGGGCAGCTCTCTCCTCATCCTCGCGTGCCCTCCTTTCCAGGTTTTGGCTTCGAAGGCTTCGGCTCCTCGGAGGGCGCGGGCGAACCCCACAAGCCTCTGCCACTCTGCACAGAAAGCATAGGAAGGCATTTTCAGAGGTCCATAGAGACAGAGATCTTGGCCTTTCGTTGTAGAAGGTCTGTGAAGGTCTGGGCAGTTTAGGGGTGAGCAAGGAAGTCTGGATCGGATGCTGACTTCCAGCTGCCGATCTAGCTGGCCTGTGCACAAGAGCAATCTTGTTTACGAGGGCTCATGAACCAACAAGTGCGGACGAAGTTATGGCAGCAAATGGTAACACTATGACCATATAAAAGTCCAGGGTAGGTGACAGGCCCCGGTCGTCGTTTGCGACTTAGGATTCTGCAAGTCTCCTTACGACAAGTCTCCTCCGCACCAGCCCCGAGTTTCGCATCTCCTATTCAAGGCGAATGCGCGAGACCAACGCGACAAAACTGCGACATACATATTCAACGAGGGGGCACGACAAGCGTATGTAACAGGGGGGGGGGGGGGGGGGGGGCTATTTAGACCCACAGCCATGTAGCTAAAGATTGCCGCTTTGAGATCTTGTTTGTCTGTACAGAAAGGAAAGAGGGGAGCGGAGTTCTGAAGGGTGCACGAACTGTCTTTTTGTGAGGTCCGGCTGCCAGAGCATTCTCTTGCCTTGGAGCAAAACACGGCCGTGCCAGAGTCTGCTTCACGCAATGCACGTTGTGTTGTCGGCAAATGTAGAAAATCTGCGCATGCATGAATGTCCGAAATGACGAACAAGCTCCAACTCAACTTGCACGATACCAGCAAGCGGTTCGGTTCAAGCTTCATGTTCAAAGCTCTTTACACAGCTGTTGTTGAACAGGAGATCTCAGTACTCGGGGAAGTAGTGGCCATCTTAACACGCCACATGCACAGCTGGTCTGCTCATATCTGCCAAACTCGTGGCTCCAGTGGTCGAGCCTCGTAGACATGGAAACTGCTGCGCCCCTTGGACGCAAGTTGCACAGGACTCTGACAAGGCGTTGGGGCTTCAGAGCCGAAAGCCTCTCACTCTGCTGTTCATCCTGCCACAACTCATTGCAGGGCCTGTGTGAACGGGAGTGATATGGAGTGTGCTCTGATGTGCCGTGATGTGCTACGGTATCGCTGCTTTGCACGCTGCCAAGGTTCGTTGTGGCGGGGCCCTCGCCAGCGGTTTTTGCAACGCCAGCGCCAGCTCGAGGCTGGAGGAGTCTTTTGAGATCGTTTCGCGATGCGACTTCATGGGGTGCAGTCTGGCAAGATGGTGAAAGGCATTTCTTCCCGTCACTAGATGGCGAGCAGCAGGAAATTGTAGCCTTCTGAAGCTTCTGTGATAAAGTGTGCATCGCCATCACGCTTGGACAGGCTTGCCCAGACAAAGTGCCCGACAGTGGCAAGGCCAGCTTTAGCTCCAACACACAGCTTGTCTTATAGCTTCCTTTGATGCCTCAGCGCCTCAGTTCAGGAGCTGCAGGCCCTTGTGCAGCCGCGGCTGCAGCAGCTGTTTCAGCTGCTGTCACACGAAGGGCTAGGCTGACAGGGATTAAAGAGTGCCAACGTGCTCGTGAAGGAAGCCCCTAGCGTGGAAGTGCACGACAGAAGCCGGCCTCAAGTTTTGTGAGTTTTGTGGGCTCCTGTGTAGGCCTCGAAATCGCAGTGGGCATGGTGTAGCCGATTGACCTCTTGCGGCCTGCTACAGTGCCTGCAGGAATGCTCGCATTGCTCGATCTGCGAAGTTGAGTGCAGCGCTCGGTCGAAGCCACCGGGAGCCAAGCGGATCCAAGCAGCATGCGACTCTTCCAAGGCGACAACCCCTGGGAGGACATCAACAAGCGCAACAGGGTGGAAGGTCAGACGCAGGCACAGTAGATTGGAAATTCCAAGTTCTCGGCCGTCACACCTTCGTGGCAGATAACGGTTCCGAAGGAAAACGTTGAGTTTGCACGACCACTTGCACAGTTAGGGGACGGGGCTGGTCCACGAGCGAGTTATCAGTAAACTCCTGTTTGAGGAAAGCTCCCTATAACATCCATGGCTTCGGAAGCCTCGGAAGCAGAACCCTCTTTGCCCCTGGAACCTGTTGCTAAACCCTGCTACGCGGCAGGCTGGCGCCCCCTGGTTCATGCCTGGTTGGGGTGGAGAGCTGGACCAGGCCCTGGTCTACTGTGCACCCAATCCCGTCGTGCCGTGGCGTAGAGTGCCATGTACCAGGACCCAGACGACGAGGAGGAGCTGGACCGCAAGAAGCCCGTGGAGGAGTCAGTGTGCCTTGGCAAACTTGCGCCCGAGATTTACGAACATCAGTGAGTAGCTGGCTCAGTGCCTCCCCAAGGTACTGCTGCTGGGTCCTGCCAAAGAAGAAGGCCTCGGAGGTCCTGAAGGCAGGGGGCCAACAAAAGTAGAGCCAAACTTGTTGAGCCAAAAGTGAAGTCAAGTTGTGCTGGAGACCAGCTTTGGAAGTCTCCGGAAGTCTCGTCTTTTCAGTTTCAGTTTGATGGAGGCTTTTGAGAAGGCCCGAAGCATGATCTAGACCCGTCTTCGGGGGTGAGATGACCTCCGTGCCTTTTTGACATATGCCCCCCGGCAGATGTTGTTTTGCAAGCTTGAATGCGTGTGCAATCATTCTGGCGAGGAGTGGAGTGAACAAGAGGAGGCATCAGACGAGCATCTAGGCATGAGCTAGGCATGAGTTTGTGTTGCTGCAAGCCTGCCATTGGTCATGTCAAGGGACTAGACAGTATCCAAGGCAGAAGGACATTTTGCAGTGCCATCCCTAGATTTCCGCGTCGTTTTGGAGAGTCGAAGAGTCCAAGCGCTGCGAAGATGATCGCAGTTCGAAAACCTAACGACCTAGGGGCTTGGCTTCCGCAGAGTTCAGCGAAGGCTGGACGGTCATCTCCTTGAGGTCCTTGAGATGTTTTGAGAAGCGAAGTGAGAAGTGACCTTAGACTCTTTGCTCAGAGTGTTGGGCGAAAATTGTTCTGAGGTCTGGGGCCTCAGCCACACCAGGGAGGGTCGAGGCCAGGGGCTTAAGTCGCCTAAGTACCGACCACGTCCGCCCTAGCTGCCTCCTGTACCTGCAGAACCCGGCTTCTACCTTTTCCCGCCTGGAGATCCGGAAGTGCCTGCGGCGTGATTGTACCGAGCTGTCATGCAGGCACACTTGAGGGAATGGTAACGCTGCCAGGTCCTGACCGTCATGGAGGCAGTTGACGAAGGCCTTTGGAAGTAGCATCGAGTGCAAGTGTGTTCGACGCATATCAGGGCAGCCCATGTTTTTTCGTGATGTGTGCTCACGAAGACTGTTCAGCTGTGGACTTCTTCCTGGCCTGAGCCATAGCAGTGCCAGAGCTTTCGAGGTTTTGCAAGTAAGTGGCGGCATTCACATCTTTGCATTTGAGAATCAGGCAAAAGTAGGCTGGAACGCCAGAGTGTGCAATTTTATCGTTGTGTTCCTGCGTGCATCCGTCATCTATGCATGGCGGAAGGGTTTTAAGTCCACTTCCGACAGCCCAGAAGCTAAAAAGTTAGCGAAAGCCATGAAACGAGTGAAATCACACTCTTGCTTTCGGGTACATGCAGTCAATTGCGCATTGTGGCCATGTCTGATGAGCCTCTGCAACTACCGGGCTTGCCCCAGCTTCTCCGACAGACAGAAGCTGAGCATTGCACCTCGTAGCATACGAGAACCAGGTCTTCTTACAAATCGGTTCTGGGGCTGGTGTCCGTGGGATAACAAGCCAAAGCAAAGCACATTGCAGTTGCGTGAAGACAACAAAAGGCAGTGTAAAGTGGCAAGCGGCGGTGGGCTTCGAAGCGAGTTCAATGACATCGCGAGTTGTTGCGGTTCACAGATGGATTGGATGCGACGTGCATGTACGTGATCCGACAGGAAGCAGCGACACACTGCAACATCCTTTATGGGGACGTTGGTGGCTTGACGCATGGTGCAGGCATCAGGTCCGAGAGCAGCTCTAGACAATGGTCAGTCGTGTTTTTCACACATTTTGGATTTCGTCTTGAGCCAACGTGGTGTTGACAAAATGCAACTCAGTTGCTTCAGCAAGTTTAAGCATTTCCATTTCAAGTTTCACTTCTCTCGTTTCACGTCACAATACGTCGCATTTCAGATGTTTCACGCGTTTCCATTCGCAATTCACAGAGCACTTCAAATGTCACATGTCGAAGAGTTCGCATATCACGCCTTTTGCATTTCACATTTCATATCGTTACGAGTGGAGCACGCTTCCCGTGAGTGGTCTGCATGTGCCAATCCTTGACCCTCCCATGCTTGCCAGAAAAAGTCGACGTGCAACATGTGGCCGTCAGCTGCGACCTCGGAGGTGTAGTGCAGAACAGACAGCAGATGCGGGCCATACCCAAAAGCATTCTTTGCCTGCCTCGCCCAGAACCCACGGAGATCGGGAAGGACACCAAGCAAGCCTTTTTGGACTGGGTCGAGTCTTTGAGGCAGGTATGTTACAGTATGTTACAGTATTGCAGTATGTTCCCAGCATCTGATGTGTGCAGACGTTGGGGTCCAGAATTTTCCGGACGCTCTCGCCAACCGGACTAGGCCGAAGACGGTGGTGGTGAAGCGCCCAAAGGCACGTTGTCACAGCATATCACGGGGTAAACAGCGAAGGAGCAAACAGGGAGTCATGCGCAGCTTGCACACCGCACGGCAAGGAGCTTTATGCCTTCGACCTGGGGGTGGAAGAGGGCGACGGGAAGGGCATCAAGAAGGCTCGAAGCTTCTTTACATGGCATGCGGCAAGACGATCAACACAAATTGACTCGAGCAATCTTTCCTGCCAGGGCTCGGGACCAAAAGTCAGCAAGGGACTCTGAGCCTCTGCCAAACACCTCGGCCATCGGCTGGCCAGTAGACTTGTCTGGCATGCTGCCGTTTTCTATGCGAAGCAGCCGCCAATGACTTCGGCAGTCGAGCTTCTCAATAGTTTGAGCTTCGCCTCGCAAACTGACAGATACTATTTAAACTGCTATCAAATGGTAAGCACGTCGCTCATCAGGATCCAGACCCGCAGTGGCAGCCTTCGTTAAAACAAGTTCAGGGAGGCCGCTCGTGTTTCCCATTGGCAAGTAAAGGAGCAGAGAGAACTAGACCGGGTCTGTGTGATAGATGCAAATCTTCCAAGGGGGGGGTGGCGGGCGTGGGGGGCGGTGGGGGGGGACCTTGTAGGTGCCAGGTTGAGGGGCACTGGGCTTGTGGATTTTGGGCCTGTTGGTTGGGGTGCCTGTGTCGGTGTCGTGAGTCTCATACTCCTACGGCCCGGGGCCTCGGCGGATTGTATATCTGCCAGTTTCACGACGAAGGCGGTGGGTAAATCTTTCATTCACGCAGTTCATAACCCCTCATAACCCCTAATTAACTCCCTGACGCCCCTTTCGGCTTCAGTATCCACAGATCGGGCGGCACGCTTTCCTTCCGTGGAGTCGAAGCCGAGCCAGGTGGCCCCCCCCCCCCCCTCCCCCCGCGACGTCGCATCGCTGCAAGAATCAGGTTTGGTTTTTTTGGGGTCTTTTCAAGGTTGTTGTTCGGCTTCACAGGGTTCACAGACTTAGGGTTGCGGGGTTAGGGGAGGGCCGCAGGGGCCCTCGCAGCCCTGAACCCTAAACCCTCGAAACCTTCGCGAACGGTCAGCATGTCCCGCAACCCCTGTAATGCTCTCAAAATTGCACAGGTGAGTCCGCTACAGGGTGGACTTTTGCATGATGCGTTTTTTTATTGCCCATATATCATTTACCATCCAGACAGTCCAGACAGAGGAAATGAGATGCACACATATCCCCACCCAAGGCTCGAGAATGTATAACAGTACATAGCGTGGTATTGACTACGCGATAGTTGCTGCCACGCTGCGATGAATCTTGCGCTCTCTTCATCCTTGTGTCAAAAATCATCAAACTACTTTGCAATGCAGGGCTCAAGCCAGGAATTGAGTGTGAAGAGTGGGTTTCCCGATTGTGTTTGCGAGCTTCAAGCTATGGGCTGCAGATGGCTGCACAACAAAACAACAAGAGCACAAGTAGAAGCCAGTGCCTGATGTTTGGTGATGTAGAAGTCCGCTGCACAGCATGCCCGTTCATCTGGTGCCCAGCTCAGGGAGCTTGCAGCAGCCCATACAACCCATGCAAGTGCACCAACACAAGTTCACCAAGCTCTAATGCACTAATGCCTTAGCGTTGTGCTCTGTGCTCCGCCACTCAGTTTGACATGATGTTCGAGGATGAGAATGTGTGAATTTGGGCTGATCTGAGCCGCCCAGGTACAATGCCCGCATCAGGGACATCACGGATCAGGGTGCTCTTTGCCGGCAGTGTAGCAAAGTTTGCCAGCATCTTGAGCATCGCATAGCAGCTGCTGCGCTTTGCTGTTGTGCTCTTGAGTGCTCTAGAGTCTTCTTGGCGCGGCTTGCAATGGCTTGCAGACAAAGGTTCTCTGCTGCTTCGAGGAGTACCCAGTTGGCTGCCCTTTTTATCAGCATGTGCCAGTACCGAAAATGCTGTTTGCAGTCGACTGCGGCTTTCTGTCGCTGCAGCCAATTGCATGCTCTGTACTATGTACTCATAGTTTTCCCCAAACAGGGTGCCAAAAAAACGTTCAGAGTAACGGGTGGTTAGATTGCGTTGTGCGATCGTCGCCGGCGAAACGTGCGTGAAGCGCAGCGCTATTCCTCGCTCTTGGGATGCTCTTGGAGTTCTTTGAGGGGTTTTCTTCGAATATTGTCTGGAGCGCTTGGAGTGCCCTTGGTGTATGTTTGGAGGACCCTTGGAATGCTCTTGCGTCTCTCACTGTTTGGGGTCTACGCTGGCATAAACTTGTTTTGGTGCTCGCCAGCCCATGCACGTGATCCGCAGGAGGGCTCTTGGAATGATGTGCTTTGCAAGCTTCAGGAGGGGAATCTGCAAGTGAGCCGATTGGGTCCTGTGGCACATTGCTGTTGAAGCTTGTTGATATGCTTTTGGAAGCATAAATGAGTGATGAAGCTCGTCGGAAACAGCGAAACAGTCTGAGCATGTCCGAACCGTGTTCTGAACCATGATCGAAAGCACGGTGTGAGTTGCAATCTCTGCTGAGAGGATGTTCGCATGCCTTCGCCCAGACGGGCGCCGGAGGACTCGGATTGCCTTGCAGTGCCCGTGCCTGGGACCCCTTCGTGAGCATACTCTCTGTTGCAAGTCTGTCGTCGCTTCTCGACACGGAAGGACTTCGACCCGGCCACAGGAGACCTGGTGGAGTATGAGGCGTTGGCACCAGAGGTTTTTATGGCTGGTGTGGGTACTGTCTAGAAGGCTTTGGGAGGCTCTTTCGCTGCAAGCTGTGCAGGCGAAGGTTCGTGTACAAGTGCTAAACGCAAGCTTTCGTTTGTCTGTGAATGGTGCAGGTCTTTGCAGAGGAAACGGCACCTGGTGGCTGGGCCGTGGCACAGGCTTGGGGTTTAGGCTGGCAAAGGCTTAGGGTTCAGGCTTCCTTTGTTGTGCGACTACGTTTCCCGCGAAGCTATCGTTGTAGAAGTGTGCGCAGTGCTGGTACCATCAACTCCAGAAGTGTCAACAGTATGGACTTGCGTCAACGTTATGGACTTCGAGTCCGTGTGCGCTTGAATCACCAGCCGTAAACCATGGTATCTTGAAGAGTGGTTGCATGGCGTCGTGCGCACCGCCCACGCTCCGTACGTGACATGGATACATCACCGGTTGCTGAATCAGAGTGTGCATCCATACAGTACGATGAAATGGAGGCATTTTCCATGGAGGCCGTGAGCACGTTGCAGGATCTTATGAACCGAGCGCTCGCCTTGACCAGGAAGATGCACAGGGCTACCCCTAATCTGTTGAAGGCCCCGGGCAAACCATATGGGCCAACACGACCGGCCGCCTTCTTCGATGTCGCTGGGAGTGTTGCGTACCAGATTCGGCAGAATTGCGATCACCCGTTTGGTATCCCAGAAAAGCTGAGCAAGGGTTCGAGGGTTCAATGAACGGGCAATGACAACCGCCAGTTACATTGGCTATCGCACGTTCTTGATACTTGTAGCAACAACGCTATATTTCTGCAGAGTTTCAATATGGCAGGTGCATGCTCGTTGTTGCCTCAGCTGTTGGTCTCAACATACTTGCTTGAGCCTGAAAAGTCATATATCGCGCTTGTGCCTCTACAAAAGAACAGAGATTGGCTCCATCGATCTCCAAAATTCACTCAGAGTTCGCAAAACCCTTCCCCAACTTTGCCCCCTTCCGACAAGGCTTGGAGTCGCTTTGGCACCTTCGCTGGCCAGAGCGGGTACAGCCAGGACCCTTTTGAGAGAACTTGACATAACTTGACAACACTGACAACACGCTTGGTCTTGTGAGTGGACTGAAAGGGTCAAGCATGGTCTAATCTTCACCTCTGCGCAACTCCGTCGCCTATGTTGTGTAGCATTGTAGCAATATTGTAGCACATTGTAGCTCTCCGCAAGCCTTGTTGAACTGAGGCAAGGGTCCTCTGGAGAGGCGCAGAGTCATGAAGAGCCTGCTGATTTCAGCTTCCCCCCACAGCTTCTCCCAACTTCTCCGAGAAGCTGGAGAGGTCCTGATGCCTCGAGCACGCCTCCGGCCCTGCAGCAGCCGAGAGGGGAATGTCTGAATCTTACTTGTACAATGAATCTTCGTCTTACATAATCTTGTACGTGCCGCAGGCTGCGGAAGTTCGAAATGTTGGACGATGAACACTGAAGCCGAGGTAGCCGGCGTCCTGCAGAAGGAGGAGGCCTGTCGACTCACGTGCGAAGCATTCGGAATTGAGATCCTTTTTCTGATTGGTCAGCCGTCGCCACATCGGCCAGGTTGCAGTTGATGCCTCGTACTTGCGATGGCTTGACTCTCCAGATGCCGCCACGGCATTTCGACGAGCAGAGCTCCCAGCAAGCTGTGCGAAAGCAGTGGAAAAATCGGCCGCCACAAGAAAATCACAAGAAGTGCAGGGCTTGGGCAACTGTCAGTAGAGTCTCGAGGCTGTTATGCACACGGCCCCGCGCAGCACCTTCTGTGCAATGGCTGCGCAGATCTGCACAACAAAGCAGAAGCATTCTCTAGATCCGACATAGCGAAAGCCTTGCAGAAGCAACTTAGACAACTTCACTTTGGGCTCGGCTCAGGTGGAGTGCTTGGCAGTGGGCCTCCAGAGCGGTGATGCGTTCGCCCAAGATATTTCTGGTGATCACATGATGCTAACATCCGGCGACATCCCGTGCCTGATGAAGCCTCAACTTCCTACGCTGTATCAAGGCTCGCTGCGCTCCCTCCGATCTTTTGAAGGCGCACGCTGTGAAGGGGCGCGTCGTCGGACATCTACATATGCTGCTTGTCGAGTTCGTTGAAGCTTATTGAAGGAAGTGAGCAAAAGGTTTGCGTCCCATTGTGCACAGTACTTGCAGTTGGGCAAAGAGTGCAAAATACCAGGTGCACAGTGCGGACCCTCCACAGGCCAAGGTCATCGCCATTGGCACCAAAAAGGCCAACCCCATGACATGCCATGGCAGAAGGATGGCTTCGGGCTCTGGGGACGTGTTTTTTTGGGGTTGTCGGGCAGTTTCGGAGGTCCTGGCTTGTACTTTGTACGATCTTGTAGGATTGTACTGGACTACATGCTGGGCCTACAGAGGATCAGAGGGCCTCAATGCTTCCCATGCTTATGCGACTTGGAAGGGTTCCAGCAAGCGAAGGTGATCGACTGATCGACTCGCTGCATGCGGATCATGTGCTGTTGCATTGCCTCTTTCCGCGTTTTCCGCATTCTGCCCCCCAACATTTTGCCCCCCAACCGCGGCTGCGGAGTTGGGGTC